ATTTGAGCTTGGTTTTACGCACACTGGCTGGTAGGGTGATATCATAGTTAAATAAGTAATACATAATTATATCAAATTACCACAATGTTTATCATTTTTCAATTTCAACAATCTGTTGAGTCGAATGACAAATTTAATAACGAGCACCAGTCTTGTTAGCGGTCACGGTACTTACTTATTTAAGGGTCCAGTGCACCCCCAGCGGTGCTAAGGGCCAACGTGAAAGACTTCCATCTTGGGCGGCTGCACGCTTTCGCCTTGACCTGGTCCCAGGTCAGATTCCTATCGACTTGCTTAATTTCCTTATTGAGGCTCCGCCGCCATGAGCACCTGGGTCTGCCTCTGCTGCGATGTCCTGCCGGATTCCAATCCAGCGCTTGCTTGCAGACTTCGTTTCCGCCCCGTCAAAGTATGTGGCCGACCCACCTCCACTTTCGCTCCTGCAGCTTTTGAGTGTTCTCCGCTGATACACACCACGTCTCGCTCGCGTATAACAACAAATTCGGATTTTGGTGCGTTGACTTATCTGATTGGATCTCCATACGTTTCGTAAACTCGCAAAGGCAGCCATAGCCCTCTTGATTCGTGCACCTATGTTGCTCTTGGTCCCGCCGACCGACGCTATTTGGCTGCCAAGATATTGGAAACTTTCGACCTTCTCCACTGCTTGCCCCGCTACCGTAAAGTTGGAAGGGTTGCCCGTGTTGTTATCCAACGATTTGGTCTTGTTGACGTTGACGGTGAGACCCGCCGCAGAGGAGCGTTCGGCTAGGTCAGTGAGCTAACTCTGCATATCAGAGTGCCGTTGTGCTAGTAGAGCAACATCATCAGCCAAATCGAAGTCGTTGAGATGCTCCATGGTGATAGGCTGCTAAAGCAGCCCACGGTTCGGTACACGGTCAATTGCACCTACCATGATCTCGTCGATTATGATGAGAAACAGTAGCGGTGATAGTATACATCCTTGCCTCACACCAGCGACTACCCGGATAGGGTCGGACAATGCTCCGTTATGCAGAACTCTGCACGTGAAAGCCTCATGCTGCGCTTCGATGAGGTTGACGATTTTATCCGGGACTCCCTTGCGTCTCAGGGTGCCCCACAGATTCTCGTGATTGAGACGGTCGAAAGCTTTTCGGTAGTCAATGAATACCAGATAAAGGGACTCTTGGAATTCATTGACCTGCTCCAGTATGATGCGGAGCGTGACAATATGGTCCACACAAGATCTTCCGGCACGGAATCCTGCTTGCTGCCGTCGGAGAGTCGCGTTGATCTTCTCCTGTATCCGATTCAGGATAACTTTGCACAGAACTTTGAGAACAATACACAGTAACATGATGCCTCGCTTATTGTCGCACACAGTCAGATCCCCCTTCTGACCTTCACTAAGATGCCCTGCATCCAGTCGGCCGGAAAAGTCGCGGTATCCCAGATATTACAGAATAGTTGATGCAAAATTTGTGCGGGTAGCATGGGGTCAGCTTTGAACATCTCTGCTGATATGCGATCGACCCCTGGAGCCTTGTTGGATTTCATGCTTCGGATAGCTGCTTCAATTTCCTGCAGTGATGGGGACTCGGAATTGACGCGAGTGATGCGCCGCACCCTAGGCGGATCATGCCGAGATGTTGATGGCTGGTTGGCCGTCGAAACCTGAAGAAGTCGTTCGAAGTGCTCAAACCAGCGTTTCAGCTGGTCAGTGGGGTCGGTAAGCAATTGTCGAGTCGTGTCCTTCATTGGCATCCTCGGGTTCATCCTTGCTCCACTCAGGCGTCGTGAGATATCGTAGAGGAGGCGTATATCGCCAGTGTTTGCGGCTTTCTCCCCTTCGTCGGCCAGGGACGCTCGCTTGTTCCGTCTGCAAGAGCACTTGACTTCCTTCTCTAGAGCCGAGTACCGTTGACGGGCTTCGTTCTTAACTCCTCTGGTTCTCGCCCGCTCTATCGCGGCTTTTGCTTCTCTACGCTCCTCAATCTTCCGCCAGGTTTCATCTGTAATCCACTCTTTCCTCTGGGTGCGCAGCTCACCCAAGTTGTTCTCGCTTGTTTCTATAAAGGCATTCTTGATGGCCGTCCATTGTTCTTCTACGCTGCCACCTTCTGGAACGTCCGCAGCTTGAGTCTCAAGTTCTTCAACAAAAGACCTTTTTACCGCTGGATCTTCAAGTCGGCGTGTGTTGAACCGCCGCCCGAGTCTGTCCTCCCGTCGCTGGATCCGTGCCATGCGTAGGCGGATTTCGCAGATTAGAAGGTGATGGTCAGACGCAATGTTGGCGCTGCGTCTCCATTTTGGGCTGATGTAGATGTGGTCGATCTGATTTTCGGTATGTCCATCACGGAAAACCCACGTGACTTTGTGCACTGGCCGATGGGGAAGAGCGAGCCCCCGATCACCATGTCGTTATTGCCACAAGCAAGCAGTTCACCGTTCTCGCTCATTTCGCCGAGACCATGGCGTCCCATGACACGCTCATAGTCCGTTTTGTCGGAACCGATCTTCGCATTGAAGTCGCCAGTGCAGATCTTGATGGCACCCTCATCCACGACGGCATTCAGTTGACTGTAAAAATTCTCCTTGTTCTGTAGCTCGGCAGCATCGGTTGGCGCATAACATTGGATTATGGTAAGGTTACGAACCCGTGTTCTAAATCTGGCAACGATTATCCTCTCATTAACAGACTCCCACTTGATGAGCGCAGCACGGTAGTTGACACATTATCTGTGGTAATGGACTGCCTATGCGTCCGACACTTGCAAAACAAGCTATCATAGTACAGTTCAAAACTAAAATGTCATATGACATGCTCTGTCATACAACACTGTCGTCAAAGACCGTCACGAATGTATGTATTTTAGTTTTTCTCATAATAAGAGCTGCTGATGTTGTGCTTGTGTGAATTCTGAAAATAACAAGCAATGATGTCCTAGTAATAACATTTCTGATCAGAAATAGTTTATTTTACACAAAATTGAGGAATTAGAACGAAATCACACATGTCATATGATAGTTATTTGATAATTTTCTTTTTGCTCGAATGTTATTCTACCGTTTGTGTTGTGTGAGAGAGACGACGGTAGAGCATGAGTGACGAATACAAACAGACTGTCGCGCACGACAACGAAGCGAGTGTCGTAAAAAACGTCGACTGTTTCAACCCCTGACGAGCACAGTTCTAACCTTAGAATAAATTATCATCTAGAGAATTTTCATACAGTAGATTTAGTGACCACAATTTCCTTTGAATAACCTATTCGAACAACTCGAGCGATGGGAAACTCCAAAGCTATTTCAGTTTATATCTTTACTTTCATTGATATAATTGAGGCGGCAGAAGGGATACAGTAAGCCCCCCCCCTTCCCTTCTCCTCCCCATGTCCAACTACGTATATTTTGACGAATAGCTCAAACGGAAGAAGAAGAAGAAGAAGAAAAAGAAGAAGAAGTACGCCTATTAAATTGAGCAAATGTTTTGAATATTTACATCTGAACATCTCAACTTGACAAGATCACAACTGAAACAGAAACTGTAGCAGCGGATTTTGTTGTAAGAGCCATGGTTGGAATATTACTGCAGGCTAACTGTAGTAGCTAACTGACATGGTGCCATCGGAGTTGGTTATTACCACATTGACTGGTGATGCCTTTTTCAATGGGACTGCTGTTACGACTACTGGAGCAATCGAAGTTGATGGGATATTATAGGTGAAATTCCAGATGTTTAGAAGAATACCTGTTGGGAGAGCTTGTTTGATCAGGGATGATCCTTTTGGAGTGACGACTGGGACTATTTAGTTGCTGAGAAGGAAGAATATCTGCTGAAAGGTTGGTTGGAAGTGAAGGTTGTTGTTGGTAGTAAGCAGCCACCGGCAAAGGTTCTTCCATAATATTCAAGCTATTAGAATGCCTCAGGATACACTAGGGCTTACTTTGTTTACAAACAAAACTGACGTCTAATATAAGGCGCATATTCTTATAGGTAGTAAACGAAGTAAGCAGAGAAAAAAAAAATCGATGAAAGTCGATTAAAAATGAGGTACATTGAGCTACTCGCGAGTTACTCGCTGCAAAAAATCATCTCAGAGTTAACCTGTCTCACCACCGGTGAAGACTTGTGAAGACATTTTATCGGTCTTGTTGAAAGCTTTTTCTAAAACCCTATGGGATTGTCTTGGGGATTTTCGGCTGTTTCAGTCTTCCAAAAGCAGGTTATTTTTTATGTTTTTCTAATGTGTTTATTTTAGTCTTACATAATGATGCCACAATTACATCTGTTGCATATACGAAAACAGCGAGTAAAACGAGAGGAAAATGATTCCGAAATCCTGCTCTGTTTATTCCACGGAATTGCTCTTGTGAAGGATGATTTTTACATTTGGCTAATTTTTATTAATAATTTAAAACTCGGCGTCAGAAAAGCGCAGCGAGCATTTTTTTCATGTCGAATCCTGCGTCTTTCTCATGGAGAGAGTTCGTTCTAGCTGATTGGTTATCGTTCGTTCGTTCGTGCTGATTGGTTATCGTTTTATGTTTGCTGTTTGTATTACATTGATTTTTGTTTGGACAACTTAATTTGACAGTTGACGTGAGTCGAAGTGTTTGTAGAGTGGAATATGAATCGATTTTTTCAATAACTGCGTAATCCTATCGATTGCAATAATAATACGACCCAGAGTTTTGTCCGATGTGGTTGACAATACATATACAGTACCCTTTCAATTTTGGCAACAAGCCCGAAAATTCAGTGTTGCCAAAATCGAACGGATTTATTTAGAAATTTAAAAAAAAAGGTCCGTTGATTTTGGACCTTCGTAAGTCATCTTTATGACATAGACGTTATTAAATTCATTCGATTTTGGAACGGTGCCAAAATCGAACGGGTACTGTAATTAAAACATATTTTTTGGTCAGGCAATGTCCCTATTTGGTGAATCTTTTGTCAATGAGTTGTGACTTGCGATAAATCGAGGATGGAAGTGTTGAAGAATAACTGTATTTCCAATGTCTGAAAATACTGTAGTTTTTGTTTAGAAAGAAGTTTTTAAATTCTAAACTTAATTATGATTAACAAAGCATGAAGGTTTGAAGTAATAACATATTTTTGGATGCTCTTATTATTATTTTTTTGAAAATATATTCATCTTTGACGTTTGAATTGGATCACCGAATTAAAACTATTCCCCGTTATTTATTATATATTATATATTATTCACATGTCTTGACAAAAATGGTTCAACAATATCACATTTGGTTGGAATGATATCCCGAATCGGTGGTTAGGCACTTTTTATGGTTATTTTATATGCGGGTAGGCAGGGTCTAATATCTCTCACAAACCAGCAACGAAGCTCATGGACATAAAGTCGTCAATGATTAACATTATAAAAATATACCAGCCTCTTTCAAAGCACATATCTCAGAAAAAGACAAGGACAAAAGTTGCCACGCTTCATCAATACACATAGATTTTAACCCTAAAAGCAAATTAATTTTCCGGATTAATCTACATATTGCTACATTGTTCATTGCTTTCGCCTCTTCGCTGCTGTTTCAAACATTTTTTTCGGTTCTGGTGATCATTTTGATCCCTATTATACCTAATGTGGGGTACGAAAAATTCATGTTACCTTATCTCACCTTAACGACCGATCAGTATGTTCCTTTGACCGTTTCGTGTCTGCTCTGTGTCTCAGTAAGTCAACTGAACAGCTTTTTCCACTGTCCGTTTGACAACAAACATAGAAAGCGCAAAATTGTGGCCTACTTTATTTACTGAGCACGGATGCCTGCTTTGATCGTTTCTTCTCGAAATGAATTTCAATCCAATGGTTAAACGAAACTGCTTCATGTTTGATTTGTGAAGCTATGGGACAATGTGGGCGTCAGTTTGTGACTGTGTGGGAATGCAATTTTTTGCACGGTAGTCTTTTGATTGATTTTTTTATTGGCTGCTATGGTTAAAATTTTAATTCTACCATCGTCGGGAGAAATAAGGAACCCAGGGCAGTCAGCAGTCGAAGGAATAGGAAAGCGCTTGTACCCGGTCCGGCAGCACCGGAATGGAACCCGTACGGCTGCAGCGGGTGGGTGATGAATTCTTTCACCACGGTCCAATCGCTAAGGCCGGCGGCGTTTCGTGCTGCCACCCGGATGAGGTACCGGGTATCCGGCGTCAGATGCACCAGCAAGTACGTAACACCATCCTCGACGTCAAAGTCACGTCGATGGGCTCGCTCCCAGCTGCGGTGCTTGGCGTACTCTTCGGTTGGAATTAGCTCAAAGCGATAGCCAATAATGGTCGAGGGGTCCGGATCGACGTCATGTGACTTCGTGGCACCGACGTCAATGTCCAGCGTGTCGGAATTGACGCCGCGCAGTTCGAACTGTGGGAAGCGCAAATTGTTATGGGACCAAATAGTACTAAACGGGATGGGACAGAATTACTTACCCTGCTGGGACGCTCCGGTTTGGTGCCTTCTTGGAGCTGAATTTCCCGCGATATTGTACCGAGCTCATTTTTGGCTTCGCATCTGTACTTGCCAAAAACTGTACTATTTTTCACCACGATCTATGGGAAACGTGCAAAAAGAGAGCCCTAGTAAAGAAGTTGCACACCTGGGGCTGTATGGTTATGTCTAATGAGCCATGTAAATTTTGGAACAATGGGCTATTTTTTCATCAAAATAAAACATCGACCAATATTAGTTATCCTCGTCAATGGGTAATTTTCCCCGCCTACTAATTGATTTAGCAATATTTTTCTAATTGAATCCATACTGCCCATAAACGCATAACAGTCTCATTAGAATAGGAAATCAAGCAAAGATGTGACTGTTATGCTTTTAAGGGCAACATAGTCCTCACCAAAAGGCACACGAGAAGAACCACATCCTTTCTGCTACCCAACAGCAGTGTGCAGCACAAGGAGCACAGAAAGGCACTTACCTGCAGCATGGACACATGCTGCCCACTGTAGATGAGGTGGTTTTTGTGGGAAAACTTTTTATTATTGGCCGACCAGGTGAAGGTGGCTGGTGGTTCCGCAATGGCATCGCAGGTCAAATTTACCGCTCCACCCACATAGCCATAAGTGACGTTTCCCCACAAATAACCACGGTGTTTATGAAAGTAGGGCTTGTCTATTCAGGGGGAGAATCAAATTTCCTCGTTAATTGAATGACAATTAAGACTTGGACCAGACGAAGGGTACACATACGTTTGATGTTGAGCAGGATCGATTTCTCCTCAAAGCTGCTCCCGGACGAGGAAACCTGAAACGCCTTACACGTGTACTCGCCGCTGTCGTCCTTCGATACCCTTTTAATGAGTAATCCATCTGCGAGCATTGTGTACTTTGCATTCGGTGCTGAAAATGGAGAAGCAGGCGTGGCGTTACAATGATGATTAATGTTATCCCTCCTGTGCTATCGATATCAATAAATTTCGAAATTATAGTAGGCTATCAAAATTCAATCTTGTTTGGGATTTGCAAATGAGGTTGGAATGGTTTCCATGGTGTAGTAATCAATCTCCCATCCTATCATCGATCAAAATTAAATGCCTATCTAACCTAATTTCATTAAAACTAAAGGTGAACATCACTTGCTTATTTCATATATTCAGTCAAACAACTTCCCACGGACAGCAATATGATTCAAATGCCCAAACTGCACAGCGAGCTGAAAAAATATATCTCCTGAATAATTGCGGCAGGAAGGACATCAAACCGCATTCCAAATTTTCTCTCTTTCTAACAATAATACTCACGAAACAATGGTTTCCCATTGAAGTCCCACGAAACCGATGGCTCCGGGTGTCCTCGCACCTCACACCGGATAGTAGCATCCATATCTTCGACCGCCGTTTGGACAGGGTTGGTGTCCCGGAACGAGATTGGCTCTGCAAGACATGAATGAGTAATGAGGAACGGAAAGAGTGACAGAGTTGGAAAAAAATTCCCACACAAAATCGCAACGATTTATGAAGAGAAAAAATCCCGGCCACCTTCTGAGAACACAATTATGAACTCATCTGCGTGCACCTACCATTAACTATCATTTTGAAGGATTTTTTCAGCACGACCCCAATGCTGTTCGTTTCGCAGGTCCAATTGCCCTGGTCGGCCCGAACGATGAACTCGAAGACAAGCGAAAGCGAACCACTGAGCTGCTCTTCGATGTGAACCCGACCTTTGGTGTCGCTGACGATAACGTTCTTCGGGTTGCGCCATTTGAGTTTCACGTCCGGGTCGGGGAAACTGCAAGACGCTATCCGGGACTGGTTCACAAAGTGCGCTACCACATCATATGGGATGAGCGTGAGGGTGGCCGTGAGTTGGTCTGTTGAAGTATTCGTCGCCGTACTGGAGCCACTGACTTTGATAGCCTTCCCACTGTCCACCGGGTGGTGGCCATAGATGGAGGGCACTGGGAAGAAGAAACAAAAAATAATGCAAAGCACGTGTCGGTTTAGTAATTTTTTTGGAGGATCCAAAATTTATCTTGTGTAATTAGTACTCCGTTGGATAAATGACTTTTGTTAATTGCTTCTGGCTGTTAAGTTAACTGTGACAAAAGTGTTTTATTTAATTAATTTACATTTTCGTTTTTTCAAGGCAAGCTCGATTATGAATAAGTCTATACGTTCTACCACTTTAAATTCACAATGTTTTTCTCCTTCTTCTTCGTCCTCGCATTTCAAGCTTATTGCTTATCGCGTGCTTTAAGGGAAAGAATACCGCCCCGAAAATAAAAAAAAATAAATTTGGCACGTTTTTATTTCTCTATAAACATTGGAAAAAAAAAATATAAAAAATCCAAGAAAATCAGTTTCTTCCTTAGATTCTTGAGAAAATTTACATGTAAAATTAATTTTTCTATCTTATCATGAAAAATATAAAAAATAGCAAAACAGAAAAATTGATGTTTTGTGTTTTTTTGAGTCCAACTTTATGCCATGATAAATTACAAAAAATATTTTTGCTCGTGAATTTTCTTTAAAAATTACTAAGAATTGTGATTTTTTTTTTTGATTTTTGAATCTTTTTCCAATAACTTTAGAAAAATCGAAACTCAATTTTTTTTTTCGGAGCGTTTTGCTTCCCCTCAAATTTAGTTTTCTAGATGCACTTCCACAGTTATTAATTGAGAGCTTTCGTTGCCTGTACCATTTTTGCATTAGCACAATCATATACTCTATGTCCAGGTAGGTCGAGTAATTTTCCAACGCGAAAAGTTTCTAGACCGGACCGGAATCGAACCCAACCACCTACAGCATGGTCTTGCTTTGTAGTTGCGCCTTGACTGTGCTAAGGGAGGCCCCCAATGCACAATTTTATGGAATTGATCATATTAATGCAACTTTTAACCGCTCCTAAAAATCCTATCAGTATTAGCTCTTGTAATCTTCATTGGCGATGCGAATGGAGGTGCCCTCTCCACTATTTTGTGACAGTCATTTGTCAAGCAGATACGAGGTTACTTTTGAACAGCGATTAATAAAATTGGACTAACAACGATTCTGACGAAGGACTACGTCTTTCGGGAAGGGTGCCAATTTAGGGAAATGTAACGAAAATTGGTCAGACTTTAAATGCTAATAACTTGGACAATAATCAATGGATTTTGATGATTTGTATGTCGATCGATTCACCAGTGTTATAAAATTTGTGTGAAATGTCACACATTATAATTGTTGAAAATTTAAATAGTTAACAATGAGTATGAGCATGATTGACCGCCCATGGTTGCTACTCTGTTATTGCCAGATCCGCTGTAATTACACAGAGAACGACGATGCTTGGGACTAGCAATCATCCTCAATGTGTCAAAACTGGTGATCTCAAACTAGGCAATACCAGCGCCGGCCGCGGCCGAACACAATTCAAGAAAGGAATGGGTAGGAATGTGGTGACGTGACAATCGCTTTGATGGAAGCCGAGAACACCTCTGCACTTCCACGAGGAATCACTGGGATGTTGGGTAAGAGGGTTGCGTTTGGAACAGGATTCGTTTTGGTAAACGATAAGCTGAATTGATATCTGAACGATCATATTTATTACGCGAACGAGCTTGGGATTGAACCCATGGTCTTCTGCTCAATATGCAAAAACGTTAGCCACTTGGCAAACAAGCTACTGTTAATCATCGAATTGCTGTTATTACCATGCAGTCATATTAACAAGTAAAACGATTGACAAATCTTGAATGTGGATGGGATTGAGATTAGACTCGCGATGTTCTGCTCAGTAAGCAAAAACAGTCACTCTAAAGTCACTGAGCCCTTCATATCACATCATACCGCTATTGGAGGTGTTGTAACCATTTAAACTCGGCACCGAGTGCGACAAGTGATTTGACCATAAATCTCTTCAATATGAATATTCCTGGGACCGTGTTTTTCTGCTCAGTAAGCAAGCCACTGCAAGTGACGATCTTTCGAATCCGAAAACTTAAAGCTACGAAAAAGCACACATTAAATTCCACTTTCACGCGGCGTTATTTATATAATATGAAATACATAACTGGAGCGGTCACTACCCGAGTCTAGAAGATTGAAAAGATAAAAATTTATAAAGAGGAACGAACTCACCAAGTAAGATGATGTGTTGATGTAGAAGTCCAGATTAGTAGATGGTCCGCTTGACAAAGACCAACATGAACTAGTCCAGTTTGTGGTAGATCTTGCTGCGCACTGTTTCTAAAAGCATGTTTATCCTTTTCGAGAAACTTATAAATCTCGCGCAATTTGTAGCGCTGTTCAAGCTCCTCCGGGCTAACCCTAAGCAGAACCGTGAACAAGAAAGCTATGATAAAGTGCCTTCACCGGCTCTTGCTGTTGACATTTTTTAAAACGCATCACATATCGTCATCACCAGCAGCAGATCTGCATCATCATAAAAAATAAATCACTGCTACTGGTGCCTCTGCTTCAGCCACCAGCTTGGGCCCTACTGGGAATTCACCTCTTACTACTAATGAGACTGCAAGGTGCTCACCCCTAACACAGCCATCAGAAAGTTGATACCAAACGACACAAGCCGAAGTCGCACAATCATTCAACGTTGCCAATCCGATCGGAGCTCGATGAAAACTGATAACGTTATAATAGCGGAAGAGGTAGGGCAGCCTAAATTGCCTTCTATCAAAGGGTCTGCCAAATCGCTTCCACTATCAGTTCGAGAAATGTTAATTTGTTTACTAAAATGAAACTATGACTATTGTTTACGGCAAGTTTTGCTATACTCCATCCTCTTCCTGTTTATTCGCGAAATTCACGTCATTTGCACACTTAGATTTTTTTGCCGAGATGGGCACCACCGAGCAGCTCGGCATTTTATTTTGCTGGAAATTCAGCAAAAAATATGTTTGTTAGCTGAGATCTCGGCAAAATTCCCGTTTGTTAGCTGAATCTCGGCAAGTTTATCACTGAGATCCAGCAAAATAAAATGCCGACCTGCTCGGTGGTGCCCATCTCGGCGAAAAAATCTAAGTGTGTGCGTATGCAATCAATGAATCATATCGTCAGGCTATTTTCCATATAGGTGGCCCTGTTCCACTGGTAGGAAGTGATGAAAATCGCAATATATAAATTGAGAAAAGGGACAATAATTCGCTTTCGGTGCATTTTCAGATAAAAAAAAGTGAGCGACCACCTAAACAAATCCGAAATAGAGTACCAGACACTGTAAAACATGTCTGGTACCTCAATATATGCATTTAGACTAACATCCGAAATCCCTCCTTTTTACATATTCTGCACAGAATATACTTTCTGCTCCGCCCCATTTACAAAAACGGGGGGAAATCCTGACTAGAATTTGTGACATCTCATGGACATCAACGCAGAAGTATGGTAATATGATTAATTTGACAAAGCGTTTATGACTGGCATTCTCCTTCCGGTTGTATGAAACAGGTCTAAATCCGTACGTAAATTTTTCTTTTTGGCACCATTTATGGCAAATTAGTGAACTTTTCATGAACATTAACGGCAAATAACCCACCAATACTAGCGAACCGTAAGTACTGTGCCCGGCAAAAACTTCTCGCCACAAGTTGTCACTAATCAAACTTGCTAGTGTCGAAGTGTTTCACTCCAATTAATGTCCTGTTAGAGGCGAAACTTAGGAAGAATATTTTGTGTCGAGCAAGCATGGGGAAAATCATTCACTCGCACTCGCACAGAATCAAAATAGCCATCCTCACCTACAAACAGATTGCCGAACGACTCTGCAGGTCGACTCAAAACTGACAGCAGTAGAAGAAAAGAAGGATAAAGTGAAAGGTAGCCGAACAATTTTCTCAACCGAGGGAGAATCAGATTGAATGCGTAAAATCCGAATGCTAACGATTTAAACAGCCGAGTCAGACAGTTTTTGGCTCAGTGATTTAAATCAGTTGAATTGGCCACAGCAGTTTTACGATATTTGCATCATCCGCTTATGTTTATGTGGTACAGTATAGCAGTTTTCTCCATATTAATAGCAATTTTAATGTGTCAATGTATGCTTAAAGCTAGAAAATGAAAAGAGATTTTTTCTGCAAAAATCCTCATTCAGCTCACTCAGCAGAATGCAATCGTAAAAGGCTCAGAATAGAAACAATAATAAGCCAGGAATCATCCACACTACTTTTACGTAGACTACGTCTTACGGGAAGTTACAGGGGGGTTAATCTAAAATCTAAAATTGCGACCGTCGCAAAAATATGTTAGGTTTTGAACGCTTGTAACTTTGTCATGTATTAATGAAACTAAAATCAAAATACACAAATCGATAGGCACCAACCCTACGAATCTGCTAACATAAATATTTATCCAATTTTTTTCTTAAAAATAGTATCTAACTCTGAGAATTATTCAACATGAGAATTTTCTAAAGTTTGATTTTCTTAAAAAAATATGAGATCCGTACGCTTTATGATTTAATAACAAATAGCTTGAACAAACGATCATTGTTTGTTCAAAATCAGTAAGTTTTTCAGGCTCCTGCAATCGAGGTCCCAAGCGTTGTTTTGAAATAAATATATTCAAATAAAATATTTCATCATTAAAATCAAGGTTGCAAAGACTCATTTCAGCTAAAATAATGTTTTTCGGAATAATAAAACCAAAAGATGGTATGATGGCATGTTTTACTTGTAACTTACAAGAAGAGGTTACAAAGTATGCGTTGGAAACATAAAACATGTAAATTTTGCTTTCTATGAGTCACAATCAGCGATTTGCTGATCGCTGAGTGAGTGAGTGAGTGAGTGAGTGAGTTTGTGAAAAATCGCTGACTGTGACTCTCATGAAGTGAAATAAACAGGTTTAATATGTCAAACACATTCTTTGCAACCTCTTCTTGTATCCTACCAATTCAAAATTTGATCATGGCATCTAAATATTTCATTGTTTTAGCTGAAATGAGTCTTTGCAACCTTGATTAAAATAATTGTAAGCCTCACCAGAACAAGTCATATTATTGATCACAGTGGAAATGCAGGATAATAAAATATCAAGCTGCCTTAACGCAATTTGATTTAATAGCATTTTCGCGAGTTTGAATTGAACCGTAGTTTAACAAAATAAAATAAAAAAAAATGCAACAGACCCTAGAACTTGGCCCCCTCCAGTAATATTTTTTCCAAAACTGAAAAATGTTGTTCCAATCGAGCAAAGCAGTGCATTTTGACGGTTCGATTGGAACAGACGTCCATACTCTTACATAGCATTCATTACTAAAAATGTGCCCAAAACCGGGATAAGAGGAAACGACGACTTGATCTGTAATTAATCGTTCCTCTCGTTTTATGTTCATTGTTTTGTTTTTGAGCATTGCAGTCCGACACGTGCCACAGAGCAAGTGCATCCAAGTAGTCAGTCATGCAAAGGTACGCAGCGCCTTCTGTGACACAAAACTTGTCACACATGTTATATTTACGACTTCACACACGTCAACCGCTATAACTCCTTCATATTTCGCTTATTTTTTGCGATCACTGCCAAACGGCCTTGAGACGGATCCAGCTGCGAGCTTCCTAACCGGTTTTATTTTCGTCACTCCCGGGCAAATGTTTTTTTTTTGTTTTTCTTCCGTTGTGACAAGCCTACCGGTTTGAATTTTGTTTTCCCTTGTTTTCCTCTGCACAAATCCAATTATAACAGAACGGTATGAAATTTTTAGTTCGCCGGCATGTTTTCCATCGAGGTCAGGTCTGCCTTGCACAAATTACAGTAGCAGAGGCAACGGAATACTCACCGATAATCAGTATGATGAATTTTAATCCGAAATGCACCCGGGTCATGATAATCCTCAAGTTGGCCATGGATAATCCTGTCGCTTGTGTTGCAACACTGTGACCGAAGAGCACTAATGAACTTTATTCGTCAACACAAATTTTCCATTTCTCTATGACTACGTTGCCTTCGTTTCGCGTAGCTCAGAAACACTAATTTTTTGTTGTATTGTTGTATTTCCTTCTTGTATTTTATGAACACTTATTTTCCTTCTCTCAGTGGAAACCAATTGCTTCGGAAAATTTCACTTAATTGGATTACATTTACGATAATCGACATTGCATAGCTTGCGTTATATATTCCATCCTTGGTTGCATCACTTATCACCATGTATCCAAACAAACTTTTTTATAATAGCTCCATATCACATTGATACCATCATGATCATTGCAATCAATGTAAACATTCATACAAAGCTAAACAACACCCATTCAGTACCACCCTAATGGAATACGATTGCACGTGCACTCACTTTTACTTCTGAAGCAACACAGAGTTTTCCCACGTTTCCTTTTCCGAGCCGAACCGAACAAACAAGCAGCCGAGACTGGAGGACGACGTCGACGTAGTGTGCCATGGATCCTGCAACCGCGTGGCTTGCTGAAGGTTCATTATTTCATTTTCCGTTCGGTCCGTATCTGGAGGGTTGATGGGGCCAGAATGCATGCGTGAAAAATTGAGTGCCACAGAAACGGACGGTTTACTGCGATTGAACAGCTGATCTCTTGCAGTAGGTTTATCTGAAAGTGGGAAAATGTATTCCATAGATTGTGTATTGAGTTTATACTCCCGGCGGCAAAAAGTCATCATGCCTCGGGGGTGAATCTTACCCGAACCAAAAATGGAGGATTCCAAAGGAGGATTCTGGACAATCTCATCACTTCGACCATCACTCATTGACAATATTCATGGTCAGAACTAACCTATTTCAACCTGAGATGAACAACTAAATGAAAGACCGCATTCAACAATGTTACTTTTGTGGTAAACATGGATCATCACAACAACAACAGACGATCAAAATTCAACCCGTTCCTGTTCACCCTTTCCACTCGTGTCGATTGATGCCTTTTTGCAGGAGTATCAGGGGAAACAACGTAAGTTTTTGGAGAGAGTTGACCCTAGCTCCCAGGCGACATCTACCAAGCGACACCGGTAGACGCTTCTGAAACAATCTGTGAGAAATTCCCGGGCGAAATTGGAAGAGTCTTCCAGAAAAACTTGAAAGAAATTTCAGAAAGTCAGACAACAAATGCAGTCGGATGAAAGTTTCAGAATAATTCAGAAAAGTTTTCCGTGTGAACTCCGGGGGAAATGGAAAATAATTTCCACTTCCAGCGGTAGTCAGTAGGATTTCTGAGGGTAATCTGAATATACTGTTGAAATGGAAAGTTGATGGAACTTCCATTGAACGTTGGAAGAAATTTGCGGGAGAAGGTGGAAGATTCCTGCAGGACAAGTTTAAAAAACTTCCGGGAACTCCCAGAGTAATCATAAGAATCCTTCCGAAGAAGCCGATTGAAATCTTCAAGAAAATTTCAGAAGAAACTTCGAGAAAAATCTTCCAGGGGAAATCCTGACGAAGATCAATTTTTAATAAACAATTACCGTATCAAAATATTTCTCGATTCCCGAGAATTCCCGGGAAGAGTCTTTGGCTATTTTTTGATTCCAGGGTAGCCAGAAACAGCCGGAAATGGAAATACTAACTCCACCACATCACCAAAAGCTTCAAAGACATTACATTTTAGCGAAGAAAACATATCAAGAAGACTGGAAACTTTTCCATTTTCTCATATGACCGCTATGAGACTGACACAATCGCGTTATCTGCTTCGAACGATTTAATAACAAAGATTACAACCTCAGAAGAAAGGTTTGTGTATTTGCTCCTTTTTCTATGCAGTACTTTCCCCTTCGCTCAAGCGCAGCGCTACTGTATCTGTCGCTTGGGTTCTGGCAGAGTTGCCAGTCTTCTTGATTTGAAGTCTTTGATTTTAGCCATCGATTCCTAGAAAGCAAACCCAATAAACATTGGCAGTTGAATATGAGCTTATTTAGGCAAAAATAAGCTCCTTCAGCTAAAACATAGCTTATTCAGACTAGATTCTGCTCAAATTGTTTGAAAGAGTCCTAAACACCCCCTGGCCTGGACAAGACCCATCAAACAATTGGTGCTGACTAAATGCTGAATAGGCATTTTTTTTTAGAAGAAGCAAATTTTTGTCAGAAATAACTCTCATTTTCCATCTAATGTTTGTTGGGGAGTCATCTATCTTGGATCTTTTAATGAATGAAAACTAAATCATCAAATCAAAAAATTCTGCCAGACTGCGATTATTTGAACATCATTAGATGAAAAATATTAAATAGACTACTTTGTTTATTTCTGAGCAAATATGAGTAACTCGAATTTATTCACTGCAAATATTTTAACTCTCAGTACAGTTGTCTTGCCCCTTGGCCCTGATTCATAAAATTTTACTATCCCTAATTAGTATTCAGTCCTATCGAAAAGAACGAATTTTCAATGAACCCTTAAAAAATATTCACACCACAATCGATGGCACTTACAACAGGAGAGTTCGGAGGGAGGTATAACAATGCAATTTCGAGATAGGGTTAAAGTTTTCCTTCATATTTATATTTTCCCACTCCCGAGCTGTCAGTACTGCTCATCCAAGTAGGTGAAAGTTTGAAGATAAAAAAGATGATCCACAGTCAAGAGAGAATAATATTTCTGCAAACTAGTTTTGACCAAAGTTTGGGCCTCGCACTTCACTCCAGGCTGGTGTGTTGAAGAAAGTTAAGGAAACAGTTTGAAGGGAAACGAAAATTGCCGATGAAAACAATTCTGTAGAAGAGAACTGGAAAAACAGCGACTGTTGGGCTTAAACACATCACCATGGATATTATTAAATTTTTTCAGCCACCCTGCGAAGGGCTCCGAGATGACGCTTCATCTTGTGCAAGTAAAATATACAGTGTTTAAAATTGAAGATGAAGATGTTGGATGGGCTTCCTTGTATCGGGGAACAACTTTTGCTGTAGCACTTGCGGTTTTTGCACGAAAAAAAAAGCAATTTCGACAGAACAGTTTTGGAAACAAAGTTTTATGAGTTTTCACGTTCTTTCATGCTGTAAAGAAAAAATATCATCCATTCATTATTTTTCTTTGATTTTTTTCTGATTTTTTAAAACAAGTTGCAAAATGTTGCTACGAATTTAGATCACACGATCAAAAATACGAACGAAAAAAAGTCGAATAAAGATAATCTAGTGCATTGGATTGAATGGAATGTGGAAGGCGATTGACTCAAAATCAACCAGTCCACTTCTTTCTTATGTTCCCGAACACAAAGTAGGCTATGGCTATAACTCTGAGTCAAAATTAAATTGACTGCACATGAAAATGCAATCCTGTGTCCTCTATATTGAATCAGTGGACGGATCTCTCTGCTACCGTTAGAAATATAGAAATTCATTAAACAGTTAGTGAGACAAGATATCCCAAGTAACATTTCAAGTTTTGCCGAGGTTTTAAAGCATGCTACAAGTTTAAATCATGATCTTCAGAACCCTCATAAAACCAAAATTGTTACATGGGATAGGAACTCAATCCTAATTTAAGGGATGATGGCGTACACTTAATGGTTTCAATCGTGAAATGCACGCTTTCATCTGCAACAAGCAGTTCTGGTAATGCAGATTAAATAACTATTTTCTCATTATTTCCACGAATTTCATGAATTTCGCTCGAAGGTCATTTAATATTCAATTCGTGACACACTGATATAATGACGTAGTTTTACTAAAATCAGAAGCACAGCAAATGCAAACAATCAAAGAGAAAACTTTTTTCATTAACTCACTTTTTCGCGGATTTTTCATTTACGATTCGTGCAGCAATCTTTAATCTCAGAGGAATGCCTGCCTGGCAATGGTACCTACCTACGTATCAAATGTTTTTTTTTTTCATTTTGTCTTGACTTCATTTTGGTACACTTCAACCTGCTTATCCTGCCTTCATGATGGCTATGTGATCCGAATGAATGCTTTTGCTTTTATCATCTCAGTTAGCCGTGACTTGCATTCGCCACGTTTTTTGATAGCATTACTTATTTTTTAGGGGGCAGGACACCTTGGCTGCATATAGGGGAAATGGCTCTAATGTTGGCCTATGGATCTAAGATTGAGCCCATCACTAAAAATCTACTATTTATTAATTTTATCAAGATGAACGTGCCCATTGGGACGGTACTAATGGATATTTTTGGTCGCTATTGAAAATTTAATCGATTGCTGAAATTATGTGTAGGCCCAAATTAGGGACATTAAGGCCGACATTACATCCATTTCCCCTATCATGTTTAGAAACTTTAACTATCTTCACTTTGACTTTAAAACAAAATCATCCGCAGAACAAACATTTTCGGTATAAAATCTTTGCTCGTTTACATGTATTAGTTTAATGAAAATACTGTTAGATTTTGTTTGTTGATAGTTAGTAATATTTGATGATAATGTTTAAAATAAGAAAATTATGTCATATATATTTAGTTATTAATTTAGACAAGCAATGATTATTACAATGTTTACTTACATACTATGAATTACTTATATTCTGTTTTAGCTTAAGTTTTATTTGCTGCTTGGACATAGTGATGTCAATAGTAGCACAATGCAAATTAAACAGGCGCATCATTCGATTGATTGGGTTATTTATTGTATAGTTTGTTCTGCACGATTTTTTAGAAAATAAATTCCGTGTTCTAAGATGTCGACAAGCTGTATAAAAGTTTAATTGTGCGAGAATTTCTGCCCAAGATGTGCGCATTGAAATATTGTCGTTGGTGAAGAAAAGCATTACAAATTGGTGTTGCTCCTTAAGTGTTTGTATATTGATGAGCATGCAGTGCGCTTTATAAGATGGTAATGAAAATGTAGTACAATTAAATTTACGTAAAGCATATAAAAGGAATAGTTTTTGTACAGATTCTATGCATTCTTCGTGTATGGAAAAGTATGTATTCCATACTAGGTGGCAGTATTACAGAATTGGTCTTACATATGTGGTATACAATAGCTTAATACAGTGCTTTCCCGATTTTATCAGCCTGCAGATTTCACTAAATTTTTGAGTTTTTAAACATGGATTCTCAAGCTTACACTTCGCTGTAATGTGAATTCTAGGGGAAGCGGGGGTTAAATGTGCATACGGGGTCAAATTAACAATTGACGATTTTAAGTGCTTTTTCATTCAAATATCAATCCATTCACACAGGTCTTTCAGCCAATGTACTTTCTACATTTTAATTCATTTACATTGATATAATATACTCCTACTAGGAATTATTAGTTCTGAATTGCTGTTGGCTGGAAAAATCATTTTTACCACGGAAAACCTGTTTTTTGTAATTGTAAAAAAAAACATTGCTTCATTGTCAGCAACATTTATTGTTAGAAAATAAAAAAGAGCATTACATATTTCATTGAATTGTATATCAAAGTTTTGATTGACTTACAATTTTCAAGAGATTTCAGC